TCCGATCTCAGCCTGTGAAAAAAAAAACATCGTTGTACGACCACATATTGGATTTGTTTCGAGTTTTTTATGTAATGATCGGATGAGTAGATACAAACCGAGAAGATGCAGGTGTTGAGCTTCTTGAGAGCGACTGTGATGTCGTGGAAGACCAGAGGCCGCCCTTTTCCCGATAATTCCACGGGATTAGCGACTAGCAGTTCAGTGTCTGGACCCCGATTCATCATAGCCACTTTAAGGGGCTGCTCTAATTCCGCTTTTAGACGAGAAGTTAACGCGTTCTGTTTGCTGGTGTCAAGGATTTTCCTTCCATCAGATTGCACGATGAACAGATCAATCTCGCAGTTCCTCCTTTTCTTGAATGTAAATCTCCCGTACGAGATCTGGCCAAAACAACATGATTTTGACAAGATTTGAGAAGATATTTTCCATAGAAACTGCAAGGATCAAACATTGCCCACCCGAAACACCAGCTTGGATGTACTAACTGCGAATTTTATACCGTATTTATGGTTTCTAGGCTATTGTAAGTTCGCAGAAGATCAACATATGAATTTGACAAAATGGGCAATCAATAAAAAGGGTTTTAAAATTGTGGGTATTGCACCAAACCTTAATGTTGTAATCCTTGAGGGTCCTCATTATATCATAGAGAAGGCCTTTGTGATCTTGGCAAGATATTTGGAAGAGGGTGTGAGCCGGGCTAAGTGAATTGTCTATCGCGATAGATACATCGCCCGAAGTGTATAACCCTTTGTGGTTTTCGTCCAAAGGAAACACAGTCTCGGTTACAGCTGAAGCAACCGAGGAGGAAGCCTGAGAGTGAGCTGTGATTTCCGGACCGACGAGTTCTATGTTATAACTTATCATCAAATCTCCAATGGCGTTTCTCAGGCATTGGTATGCTTCCTCCTGTCTCTTCTTTGTTCCCAACAGCTCTCTGATAAAAAAAACTCGAAAAGAAGGACAAAAGATTAACATACGCAGCACAAAAAAACTGTATATCTAACAATTAACAACTCAGATTTTGGATTTAATCATAAGCTTCTATTACAATGCTTTTTTACATAAAAGTTATATTTTTGGATTTTTTTTTGTTTATATTGAAAATTAAAGTCTCAAATTCAACATACATTGACAAAATGGTAACAAATCTTATTATCTTAAATGCTAATTGATATGCAAAAATTTTATTTATTTTGGAAAATACTATTTATAATAAACTTTTCTTTTATAAAATTGGGGGCCTCAAAATTTGGGATTGCTCAAAAGCATCAGGCAGCATATCCTCTAAGACAGCTCTACTTGTCCCCATTATAGAACAAGAAAACACATAAATATTAAATCTTTCCTCAGACTATAATGATGTCTCCAGTGTTTGAATGACTAATTTCCAAATGCATATCAGCAACTACTATTGCTAAAAATTCTTTAGAAAGAACATGTATGACATCCAAGAAACCGGGATAAAACCTGGTGTCGGTGAGGAAGAACAAATCCATCACTTTCCCATCTGGAGTGGTCGAGACTTTCACTTTCTTTACATTAAGCTCAAGCTCACAAAGAGCCTCAGTGACATCTGCCAAGAACAATATAACCAGACCAGTGTTATTTTTCAGACACGGTCAAATGGAACTTGCAGAACCAAGAACCCAACTTTAAAGTACCATATAGAAGCCCTTTACGATCGAAGCAGCAAAGCTTCAAGAGGAACACATCGGGAGGCTTTTGAATCTGCAACTCATTACGGTAATAAGAGATTCCAGATGCGGAAGAACATGAAGGGCAGACCCCAACTAGTCTTTTCTTCAGCAGATTCCATCTTGTATTTGGTTTCCCCATCACCCAAAACACCACGTAACACCATTTCCCATCAGTGGATACATCTTCACAGAAACATTTCGTCGAACACCGTTAGGGCACAACTTAGAAAAAATCGCATAATTGGCATCAAATCCTTAGAATCAATCCTCTAAACCTATGATCAGTAAACGCTTTTGGCTGAATTGTCACAGGTAATAGGTTCGAATGGCACATACCCTAATGGAAAAAAAATCAAATCTCGCATGCGTAATCTGTGTTCTGTGAGAAAACTAGGGAAAACCAAAAACCAAACACAGAACAGTAAGAACTGTCGAAATTTCAAAACTTTTTCCTTCAAGCAAGTTTCAGAAGCAAAACAAATTAGAACCCACATATCAAAACCGATCGAAACTCCCCAAAAAAAATCGCCGACCAAGAAGGGTGTGATCAAGTATACCTCCTCGGACAATGTTCAACCCGAAGAAGAGCAAGATACGGCAGAGATCACAACCCAACCCAGTTTTGTCTGGACAATTGACGGTAATAACACTTGGGTCGCCTTCTTTCTCCGATTGCCTGATTATCACAACGTCATCCACCAAAATACCCATTTTGTTTCTCCTCCTGGGATGACAAAAAGTTCTCAATTTTGCTTGTTGTTCATGGTTCAGTTGAATGTTATCTGACAATGGACACCCACACATATATATACATATACAGAGAGAGAGAGAGAGAGAGAGAGAGAGAGAGAGAGAGTCAATGTCGTATTTGTAAACAGTGTTAATCACGCAGCTTAACTTGGTGTAGTTGTCCCCATGTTTCGCTTTTCTCTGATCCTTTTCAGTTATTACAAATATTTTTTCCTTTTTAATTGTTCTACTTTTTTTTAAACAGAAAACTGTGATATATATTCACAAAAAAAAACTTACAAATACTATACGAGAAATATGGTGGTAAAGGTAGGCAGGTCCATAGAAAGAAATACTTATTTCGAAGATATTTTTGTGGACATAAAATTAAACTCTATTCCTCGCATTCAATTATTATCATTAGTATTTACTAGGAATTGGATATCATCTTAAATTCATATAATTCTAAAATTTGAAATTACATAAATAAATTATATTAAAAATATTTTAATTTTTAAATTATTAAAAATAATAACAGAACAATTAAATTTTGATAAATTTGTGCATGCATGAGAACAAGTCTTTTATGGTAACATTTGGATTTCTTAACAAAATTGGAATTTTCATTCTTCTTGAAAATATATTTAGAGAATATCTAGAAAATAGATGGATATAGAAAATTTTTTAATATTCGTATTTATCCTGTCGATGAGAATTTTGGGGGTTGGTCCCTTTTCAAGGGCCACAGTATGAGATTTATCTCCTTTGGTTGGTTGATTTTTCTCGTCAAAGTTAGATGAGAACAAGAAGTTTTTGGAGTTATGACTAACCACTTCCATGGAGAATTGCCCCCATGTTGATATTACGGCGGCCAATTTTCCTCCGAATTAGTTCGTACACAACCTATTATTATCAGCGGAAATTCCAAAAAAAAAACACTAAATTTTTCAATTTTGACAAACTTTATTTTTTGTCAAATAAACATTAAACTTTCTAAGCGAATCTGAAAAAACGCTGAACTTTTTAAATGATCTAAAAAAATACATGAACTTTTCTACGATTATAAAAGAAACTGAATTTTTTTAATGATCCAAAAAAATACATGAACTTTTTTCGATTATTAAAAAAAACTAAGTAAAATAATCTGACGTGTTTGCAATTCTTTATGTCACATTAGTCATTTTGTTTATTTTGATAATCGTCGAAGAGTTAATTGTTTGTTTTGTCAAATTTAAAAAGTTCATGTATTCCTAAAAAGACTCGGCAGCTAAACTCAAATTCCCTCTTAAGCTACTATCTGAATTCAGTTTCATGACATTTCAAAGTGGGAAATTAAAAAAAAATTAAAAGTACATAATAACTTTGACAAACTTTATAAAAAAAAAACTTTGACAAAAGAAAAAAGAACAAGGGAAATATAAACAAAACAAAAAAAAAATCGAACCGGACATACAAATACACGACTGATATTTAATCTGTGACAAAATATTATTTGAATTTAAATCAAAGTACGTTATATCTTTGTACGAAAGGTGTTAAGATTATGATCCGAATTTCTATTTTAGGTTTTGGACATATATAATTACATATGGGGTAAGTGTCCATTTTGTGTTTAGGTAGAACTTCAAATTTGTGTTATTACCGGAGATAATGATAAGAACATGTGTCTTACAGGTTATGTCTTCACTATACGACGGGATATATTGGCGAACCCGTTACCTTTGGTTAAGTTTGAATATTGTTCAAACTTAATTGGTTTTATGTACTCATTTGGCCTTTTAGGCCAATTGGAAGAGGATGACTAATTGATGGTTGTGAATTCGGTCCAAGGTAGAGATTGTTAGGATTGTGATCAGAATTACATATGAGGTAACTATCTATTTTATGTTTAGATATAGTAACATGTTTCTTCTAAACTTTGGGTCAGCTGTCCATTTTGTATTCGAAGATATTTCTATATATCTCACATTTTATATGTGAGGTCGTATTTGTTGGAAAAGAGTAGTAGCAATAGATATACGACAAAAGTGTGCATTTTGTTCTCCATAGTGAATCTTCTATATATCCATGTTTTTTCCATTTTAGGTTTTCACGTAAATCCCTTTGTCATTTATTTTTTTCTTTTCTCTTTATCATTTTTTTTATACTTATCCCGATTTATTTCTTTTGCATAAAACTCTACCACAAGATTTTTGATCTAAAATACATGTTTATATATAAAATGTGACGGTAAAAAATGGAGTATTTATATGATTTTATATTTTATGTAACTACAGTTTAAGAGAGGTGCATTTTCTTCGGTTAGACAAAAAGCACAACTATGTATAAAAATTACTAATATGGTCATGTTAAGTTGAAAACATATATTTTTTTAAAAAAAATATAAAGTCTGGTGAGATAAAAGATTGTAAATAGATATTATATCTAAAATTTAATAAATTCAATCATATGTCATTTGTTTTTGTATCGTATTATCATGTACTCTGATTTAACAAAGAATTTATCCAACTTGTTTAGTTCAACCAGTCAAACGGGGACGAAAAACGCATGTCTCGTCCCGAGTTCGAGTTTTAGATTAGGGATGAGAACACAATTAAAGGATTTCAGATCAAGTGCAGAAATCAGATGTGAATGGAGACAAATCTGTAAGAAATTACGATTCTCTCTATATGTGTTATGCTTATGATACAAGAGTTTATGTACACATTATTCTAACCTTTGCATGTTTGAGTAATAAGAAAAAGAATCTGAGAGAATATTTGAGTATATTGCTGGAGTTGGATGTATGCAGATTTCCTTAATTTCTTCTTCCATGATTTGAGATTATGCGATTATCATCGAGACCAAACTTGTGTTGCGATTATCAGCGAGGCCAAGCTTGTGAAGAAACGATTCAAGGACTAAGGTGCTTATCAACTTTGTGAACACATCTGCTAACTGATCTGAACTCTTAGTGAAAACTGTGTTGATGATGCCTTGTTGAATCTTCTCCCTTATGAAATGACAATCAACTTCTATATGTTTGAGACGTTCATGGCAAACCGAGTTGGAAGCAATATGGATTATTGCTTGGTTGTCATAGTGGAGAGGTATTGAGGAAGAGATACTGCAACCGAGATCAACAAGAAGGTTACACAACCATAGAAGCTCCGAAACTGTATTAGCCATCGCTTCATATTCTGCCTCGGCACTGAAGCGAGACACAACAAGTTGTTTCTTGCTCCACCATGTGACAAGATTGCCGTCGACGAAGGTGCAGTAGCCGGTAATGGATTTGCGGTCTAGGCGATCTCCTGCCCAATCAGCGTCACAATACGCCGAAATCCTTGTGTCACTGTTCTGTTTTATCCATAGGCCATGGCTCGGGGTGCCTTTGAGGTATTGCAAGATTCGCTCCACCATGCGCCAGTGATGATGCGTCGGGTTATATATCCATTGTGAGACCTGATTAACAGTGTAGCATATGTCAGGCCATTGTAAGACGGGCTTTGCAGCACATAATGTCGCCATTGTTGTGCCATTTGATCTTGAAGATCCAATTACTCCGAACAAGTTGTTTATGAGTTGGTAGATCAGTAATCTTCCAGGTGCCATTCTTTTCCAAGGCCGAAAGTTCTACTTTCATTGCATCTCACCATTCTTGATGTTTCTTTGCTTGAGTGTAACAGGTGTATCCTGGTCAATCTTACTCAAGAAGGACAATTCATATGAAGGTAAGTGTGTTATTGAGTAACAAGATTGAATTGGATATTGTACCACACTTAAAGAGTCATTAAGTTCTGGAAGCAGGTTGTTCATTGTGGATGTGTTGGCATGACCTCTACGTCCAATCAATGTTTGGGCAAGAATAGGAATACCTGCAGCTTCCCGTTGAATTGCCTTGGTATGGAGACGTTCGTTGCGGCGTAGTATTGGAGCAGGTTCTGTGGCGATGATAGTCTCAGGTGCTGCTGCAAATATTGGTGATGATTCTATCGAAGCCTCAGGATCGACAGCAGGGGATATATCGGAGGTTCCTGCACCAGATGAATCAGCAAGAGGTAAAGGAGAGACAGGGAATGTAGGTATCTCAGATGTCGATTGTTGAAGCTCAGGTTGTGAAGATGATGATTCAGGTTCTGGCAGAGGTTTGATACTTGGACTGGTGTGCAAAGATTCAACAACAAGACGCATCACTGAAGCGTTATATTTGGAGACAGATGAGGATGTTTGTTCTGAAGAGGAAGAATTATCGGATGGGAAGTAACTTTGTTCTTCGAAAAACCGAACATCACAAGACGTATAGAAACGTCGTGTCGATGGATGGAAACATTTATAACCCTTTTGATTTGTTGGATAGCCCAAGAATAAGCATTTGATGCTCTTTGGATCCAACTTTTTGCGTTGTTCATTTGGTACGAGAGGATAACAAATACATCTGAAAACTCATAAGCGATCAATGTGTGGGGGGGGTTTCGAGTTTAATACCTCATATGGTGAGATATCGTCCAGGACTTTTGTGGGATTTTTGTTGATAGTGTAGCATGCATAGGCTACGGCATCAGACCAATATGGTTTGGGAACATTCCTAGCAAGCATTACCGTATGAGCCACCTCGAGTAGATGTCGGTTTTTCTCCCAGCAACTCCGTTATGCTATGGTGTGTAGGGACATGTGAGCTGATGAACAATGCCTTGAGAATTTGTAAACTCATGAAACTTATTGCTGACATACTCACCACCATTGTCGGATCTTAGTATCCAAATCTTGGTATTAAAATGGGTTAGTACATAAGCATGAAAGCGTTTAAAAACATCAAATGCATCAGCTTTAGATACCATGAAATAAATCCATGTGTATTTTGGATTTGTCATCTATGAAGGTTATAAAGTATTTATAGTTGTCATGTGAAGTGCAAGGTGGTGTCCAAATATCAGAATGTATCAAATCAAAACAAGAATCAGACTGTGTAACAGAGGTAGAAAAGACACCATGACAGTGTTTCCCAAGAATACAATGCTCACAGCTTTTATTGTCAAATCGGGTTTTTGGAAGAAGTAAACTTAAAGCCTTTGAAAGACAGTGGCCTAATCGGCTATGCCGTATCGT